CCAGCCCCACACGCTGTCTGCCTGACAGCTCCCTTCGGATACCCCCGGCTGCCTCTAACTCAACACACCAGAACTGGACTCATCAGCGCCCCCTGCGGCCTCCCATTTGCAGCAGCCAAGCAGGCTTGCCACCACCCAGAGTCTGTGCTCCCCAGGACTGAAGCAGGCCTAGATCTGGTGAGAAGACCCCTCTCCCTTCGGGCCCTGGGGTTTGGAGTCCTGCCCCACCCCACCACCACTCTGAGTACAGCAGTGACCCAGGCCCAGAAGATCCCCCACAGCTCGGTACTGCTGGGTTAGCACAGGGCCCAACAGGCCCAGCCACAGCTGATCCAGGGGTTTGGTCTGAGTGAACTCAGAGACGACCCCCCTTCCCCGATCCATTCGAGAGCCTGTAAAGTGAACATCCTGCCTTATGTGGGACTGATGCCACGCACACTCTGAGTTTGTGGATCACATTTCATCCTAAGAGAAACTGCACCAGCCAGGCCCCACTTCTCCCCTCTGAAGGGGAGGGAACGGAGCCCCAGAGGGGCAAACACCTCACTGCGGCTGGGCAGCTAGTGAGCCACATTCAGGCCCAGCAGTGTGGCTCCACGGCCTCACTCTGGCCGCGAGACAGCCCACAGGAGGCAGCTCAGACGGGCAGACGACCGACCAGGCCACGAGGCCTGACCCATGGCAGGCCCGAGGGCTGCCCCCCTCGGCTTTTCAGCCATGTGGGCCAATAAGTTCCCTTCTGCTAAAGCCATTTATCCTGTGGGTTTCCTGTAAAATCAGACCAAAATACTGACTGATAACACATGTGTCACTGCAGAAGGTGGCAGGCATCGCCCCCCTCTGTGACCCAGGCCAGGAGCCAGGGGGCATCCTCCCTCCTCCCTCTGTCCTGCCCCCAACATCCAACTAGTGACCGAAGCCTGAACCCCTGTCGCTCTGACAGGCCCCCTTCCTTCCCAGCCTGCTCTAGGCCACCAGCATTTTCGCTAGTTTCTGACCACAGCCCCCTTGCTCTCTCTACCTGCAGCCTACAAACTGAGCCTAATTCCCTAAGGTCCAGATCTTACCATGGTCCCCCCTTGGGCAAACCCCCCAGGGTCAATTCCACCCCTCTCCAGGCTGCCGCCTCTCTGGTCTCACCTCCCTTCACACTCTGCCCTAACTACCCTGCTTCTAGGGCACTCGGCCCACGTTCCTCCTGCCCCTCCCCCCCCACGAACACCCATTCGGTACCGGCCTCCTCCAGAGCCGTCAGTCACGCTGTGCTCTAGGGCCTGTCGGCGCAGGCACTTCTCATCATCTCGGCTTCACTTTTGCGCCGCACGGTCCTCCCTGGACTGGGAGCCCTCAAGTGCCACAGCTCCATCCCTCTCGCCCCCTGGTCCCCAGCCCTCAGAGCGCGCCTGGCACAGAGCCGCCACTCCATAAACACTCACGGAGCAGACAAAGACATGAAGCAGTCCCAAAAGCAGGGTGGGTGACGCCCCTCGTCTTCTCTGGGAGCGGCCAGGTTGGGGGGCAGTAATAACCTGACAGGATCGCTGTGGTGCCTGCCTGTTATCCACAGACAAGCACATCGGGTATTCCATCCTCAGAAGGACACTGTTGCCTTCATTTTATTAGGAGACCGAGATTCGGGGAGGGTTACAGTCTAGGATTCACTGAGCATGGTTACCAAATCCACTCCGGTTTTGAGGCACCTGCCGGGGCTGGGCTCTTCAAGCCCCAGTGTACCCGGTGAAGTGAAGCAGAGCTTCTGCCCACACCGGCCACAGGGGGGCGGCAGAGTGTTGGATGAGAGTCTCTGTCGGCTTCACCAACCACGTCCTCAGAAAGAACTGGACCTGAGACTGGAAAGGCCACCACCGCGGAGAGACCTGGGGAGGGGACCCCGGCTGGGGCTGCTGTTTCAGTATCTGCCACAAACAGTTAAAACTGGAAGGGAGTGTGGGGGCACCACCGATGCCAGGAGCTGGAAACACGGACTGTGTTCCACAAACTTGCATTACCGGTGTGTTTGATAACAGGCCACAGGAACCGATGGGTCATCGCTGGGACACCCAAGACTTCCAAACGGGTGACACCGACCCACAGCTCTCAGCAAGGGCAGGTCACTGGTCTGTCAGATTACAGCCACCTTATACCAGAGACAGGGCGTGGGTGTGTCCTCAGAGGCACAGCAGGCAGGGGGCGCAGCCAGCCCATGCTGCAGAGCGTCCAGGACTCACAGTGGCGGCCCGAGGGCTTCCATTCCTGACCTCGAAGCCCCACACCCATGAGGACATCAGGAGGCTGAGCAGAGGGATGAGAAGCAGCAGCTGAGAGTGAGGGTCTTTGGTGGAGGCCCCACAGCGTCCAGGTTTCCCCGTCAGTCATGGAGCACGGGAGGGTCCAGCGCAGCCGAGTTCCAGCAGGCCGAGGGCGCACTCCCTGGAGAACAGACCCCGTGCGGCTCAGGAATCTGTAAGAGGCAGCTGGCCTCGTGTTTGCTGGACAGGGAGCTGGGCTATGTGGAAGCCAAGGAATGAGCTGGATAAACCCCAACAGCCTTTTCCAGGTCAGGGCAAAGCTCCGGGCTGGAAGAAAGTTAAGGCAAGGTCTCCCCCCGTCCCCTGGCCAGTCTTTTCCCCCAAGGACAGTGCGGACTGACAGAACTTGCTGGGGATCCGGATGCCCAGCCTCGCTCCGTGCCGCTCAGGTCTGCACGCGCTCCCCCACCTCTCCCTCCGAGCTGCGGCCTGGGAGGTGGGGAGACAGCAGTGCCCATTTCCCAATTTTCCAAATTCTTTTCCTTCCCACTCAGTCTGACAGCCTTGACCAGGGTCAGGGCTCCACAGCAAACAGCTCGGTATCTTTCCCCAGGAACGCTGAGGTCCCCAGCGTGTGACATGCTCTGACTCCACAAGCCCTGAGCTGAGGGGACAGCAAAGGCAGAAAGTTGGATGAAAAAAGCCTTTGTCTGCCTCCTCCTTCTCCCCTTAGCCCTGCCTGGGCGTCAGCAGACATGGTGGTGCTGGGACATGGCCCTGCCCTCTACTGAGTCTCTCTGGGCCCCTAAAACTGCCCAGACTTGAACCCAAAGGCCCAGCCAAAGTCATCACCCTTACTTCTGATCCCTCTGCTCTGGCCACTGGGATTTTTCTCATGAACGTATAGTCCAGGTGACCCTGAGCCCATCCGCAACCTCAGGAAAGCTGAGCCCAGCTGGCTGAGAAGAGACCGCAGCACCTGGAAGGCTGTCCCCAGCACCAAGAAGGTAACTAAGGAGGCTGCTGGGAAGTAAGAACAGGAGGAAGGTTCTGGTCTCTTTGCGGGGTGGAGGGAGAAGCCATATTCTGCATCAGAGTCTCAAAAAGCGGCAGGATATGGGGAGGCAGGGACAGAGCAGGAGGGGAAGCTAAGGAAGGACTTCACACCCAGGTGCTGCCCCCACCCCTGAGCTCAGAGTCAGGAGCCCAGGGGTCCGGCTCCAGTGTTCTGCCATTCACTTGGACACATCCCTTTCTTCTCTCTGTGCTTCCCCAGGCGTAAAAGGAAGGGCTCACAGCGCACAGGGAGACTCCTCCACCCAGCTAGGGAGTGGAGGGGCGCGCAGGGGGAAAGGACGGGAAAGCAGCAGAAGGTACCGGGCTTCATCCAGGGTTGGATGAACCTGGAGGCAACAGAGAAGTCCCCAGCCCTCCCCCAGGACCCAGCCCGGGGAGGTGGGGTATGTCCCCAGGGCCCAGCCTGCTTCCCTGGTGCCTGGAGCAGACACACACACCCCTCACTGGCCTGGCCAGCCCTCTGTCTGGAGGGGTGAGGGCAGCGTCTGGAGGTGAGATGTCCGAAGCCCAGCAAGGCCAGAGTGGGATTAGCACCAGCCCTGGGCTGCCCTGGGTGGGGATTGCACGGTCATCAGCTTCCCAGCTGCTTAGCAGCTCCCTGCCGGCACTGTCACCTTGCCCCTCACTCACCAGCCCCTCCTTACATGCAGGAACTCCCTTCTCAGAAGGAAGCCAGGACATTGTCTCTGCAAGCAGGGGAGGGGGATTTAGAGGGGGAGGATACAGGCATGCCCAGCGGACAGCCACACCCACAGACCTGCCAGGACCCCCAAGATACAATGCTGAATGGTGGAGAGGGACAGTGAAGGCTCCTCTGCCCAACCCCTGCGGCTCTGCCCAAGGTGGCCTTGGCCAGGAATTACCCAGTCTTCCAGACACCCAGGCCCTTCCCTCCAGATGGTTCCTGTCCTTGGAGGGACAGAGGCAGGATAGCCCGATGGAGACCCCACAGCTGGGAACCGTCAGCCCCAGCCTCCTGGAGAAAGTGCTAGTGAGGCCCCCCAGCTGTCGGCACCTCCATCTTCCACCCCCCCCCCCATGTGCCACAAAGCTCCTTGCTCTGGGACACCTCTGTCCACCCCCAACCTGAGCAGGGGCTGGGGGAGGCCCACTTCCTCCTGCACACTTCCCCATCCCCCAGGGTCACCCAGCCCCCTGGCTCTGCCTTCCCGCCCCTGCTCACAGTGAAGAATCTTAATCCTTTTCAAACCTTCTCCAGAGACAGGCTTTTTGGGGGAGGGGTGGGGGGTGAGGAATAAAGCAGCCAAAGGCCCAGATTGTCTGAGTTCCGGTCCCTCTTCCGTGCGCCCCACCTGCCCCCTTCCAGTTTGTGACCGCCTGCTCTAGAAAAAGCACTTGGATGGGGGCACTGCAGGAGAGATGGGGGGAAGGGGCAGCCCCTTCCCTCAGATCCCGGAGCAGGGGGTGCGGGGTGGAAGCAGCTGTAGTCCCCACCCTGGGGACCTCCAGGGGCGCTGAAGAGCTGATATGACTGTACACCCTCTGCCCCTTCTCACCTATGCGGCCCGTGGGCCTCAAGGAAAGGAACCTGAGCCTTCGCTCCTCCGCGGGGCCCTTGGCTTGATCCTAGAGGCACCAATAACCACGGCAGCTCCCTCACAGTCCTGTGGGAAGTTTGAGGGCTGTCTGGACAGTCACAGCCCTGGAGATGCAGCCAAATGCCTAGGAGTCCTCGCTGCTGGGCTCAGCCTCTGGGGATGCGTGCAGCTCACGGGCCAACAGCGCAGTCAGGCCCTGGGCCCGGAGGAGGAGGTCGCCTCCCAGGAACAGGACCGCGCAGAGCACAAGCAGCACCAGCACGCCCAGCACAGCTGCCTGCACCGGGAGTGGCCCTTCTGGGACCTCCGGCTGCATCCCCGACTGGTTGCAGCAGGAGCTCAGCCAGGTGGCTCCAGCCGTGTCGCCCTGTGAGGCGTTCATGCTTCGGCGCCAGCTGCCCAGATGTGCCCTGATGTGCGCGGGGTTGCAAGATAGTTAGATGTGTGACAGCCAGGGCTGGCTGGCGGGCCACAGACCACAGGGCGGACCACAAGCTTCTGGGAGGGGCCTAAGGGGCGGGTCCCAGACACCCTAAGCCCCCACCCCTCGTGCAGACAGGCCGTCCCTAGACAAAGGGCTCCTCCAGTGGGACTCTGGCCCAGACTTCCGGGCAGGGGCGTATCTTCTAGTCCCAAAGGCCCACATACCTATGCACAGGAACCTGGCCCACCGGGGCCCAACCAGCCAAACCCAGGAATCCTTTCCCCAGAATCTTCCTCCCCCTCAGCAAAAGTCGAGAGATGGCAGCTCACTCAGAACTCTGAAAAGCTCTTCCAGACCCCATCCTAGGTGCTGGCTGGGTTCCGCCAGCTTAGCAGGACACAGGACCAACAAGCACCACCACCTTTTCTGGGCTTCCTGCCCCAGGGCCAAAGCTCAATGCTGCCAGATGACCCAGGTGGCCACTGGGACAGGACATAAATGAGCAGCCTCTAAATCCTTCCTATCCTTTGGAAGCCTCCTGGGGCTGCACGAGCAGGTCAGTGCCTCCTTGGCCCCACACAGGGAGAGATGACGAGAGGCTGGGGCACTTTAAGGCATCTCTTTCCTTTCCTTTCCTCATTCCTTTGCTCAGACCCCAGAGGTCAAGGAGAGTTACAAATCAATGGGAAAGCTTTTGAGTCACCAGAGCTTGGGTTCTGCCCTTGAGTAAATTAGCTCCCTACCTCCAGGAAATCTCAGTGCCAAAAGGGATGGAGATGTTACTGTCCTGCCCACCACAGAGCTGGCTGGCAGGCAGTTATCTAGCAGCCAGGCCAGCATCAGAGAGTGGAGCGGAGTCTGGCCACAGAACCAGAGGCAGCTGGGATGTGGGGGACCCTCCTGCCCAGGTCTCCTGAAAACTCCTACAGCAACCTTGAGCTCTTCAAAACCAAGGCACTGCTAGTGAACACCTGTGCCCTCCAAGTCCTCCAAAGAGATTAGCTGATGGCCAGCAAGGAGGAAAAGGCCCCCCAGTCTATAGCAGGCCAAGCAGGGATCACATACCATTAAGGACTTGCTGAGAACGGGCCTTCCCCGTCTCTGAACCCCTGAGAAGCTCCCGAGTTTGCCAGTTCCCGAGAAATCAAGGGTAGAAGAACATCACAAAACCTTTCATGAGGTAGCACGTGGCCAAAAACTGCTTGGAGAAAAATGTGCAAATGCTCCTGGCAACCCCACTGCACCTGCCTGCTACAGGCCCAGAGGCACGGCCCTGCCCCCACCCTACCGTCTCTCCCTTGGCACCCTCCCTGTGCACAGGGCAGTTAGCCAGTGAATACTGGCCCAGATGCAAACAAAAACCACTGTAAAGTGTGGAATCAATCAACAAACAGCACACAGTGCAGTTCACAGGTTTGAGCATGCGAGTGTGGAAACGAGTGTGTGGCCAGCCCAACCTGCAGGAAGTGGCACCAAACCTGTCTCCAGCTGGCCCTCCTTTCTCTCTCCAGAAACCTTAGATCGAGTGAGCGTTCTGGGGTGGGCTGGGCCCGTGGGTGCTCTGGGAAGACGGGAGATCCTTCGGAGCCATCATGAAGTAAGACCGCATAATGTGAAGAGTAGAGATGGCACAACCTCCTCAGGAAGGGAGGACAAAAACAGTCCGTCTAAAAGCGACAGGTCCTGACCTGTGTCCTCACTCGAGGGCCTGACCACGGTCACTCCTAGGTGGGTGACATGATGTGAGTATCCAACAAAGAACAGAATCGGTCAGCTTTCCTCTCTGTAATCCTGTCCACCCATTCCCCTCATCGAGGAGTAAAGCCCCCGACACACACCTGTCTCTGGGAAGCGTTAATGTCTCAGGGCAGAATAAACACAAGGTGAGGGAGAGATGGCTCGATCCAAGCTCACATTCTCAATTTTATTCGCCATCCTAACGATGGAGCTTCTGTGCAGTGGAGAAGGAAGGGGGACCCACCAGAGGGGTGGTGAGACAGTGTGGGCGTGACTTAACTGTCAGCGAGGGTCATGAGGCTGACCAGAAACTAGCAACCCCAAACCAAAGAAGCCAGGGGATGGCCCTTCCAAGTGTTATCAAGGAACTGGATCAGGTTCCGGAGCCCCACGGGCCCAACAGTACAATTCCCAGGAACCAAGGTCTGCGGGCCATCAGGGAGCACCCAAGGTGCCCAGCAAGACCTAGAGGGCCAGGGTGTCTTTGATGAGCCTGCGCACGGTGGTGGTGACGGAGGTGCCCAGGGCGTCGGTGATCTGGAAAGAGATCTTGTAGAGGTAGGGCTGCACATCCCGCAGGCCTGTGTCGAACACGTTGTCCACCTCTGACTGCGTGGGCATCTTGGGCAGGTACTCGTGCCGATTCATCACCTCCACGATGTTGATGATCTTCTCACAGAGCTTCTCCCCCACCTTCTCCCGGCAGATCTGCCGCTCCTGCTCTGTGGCCAGGGCGACTACATGCACCTTGACCGTCCACACTTCCCAAGGGATGCACTCGTCTGAGAATGGCCAGCGAGACTTCTTCTTCTGGTAGAACTCCAAGGACATCTGCCCCAGCCCATCGCCACCTGAGTTGCGCAATGCATCCTGGGGAAGAAGTAGGTGACAGGTGAGCAGGCCGAGACAGACATTCTCACCCTCTGAGCACCAGCTTCCTACTCCCCAGGCAACTCTGCTGCCCGAGCTCTGTCAGTCCCTCAGGGAGGTCAAGGATTCGCACAGTGTGACACAGCCAACTGCCCACCTGAAATTGAGTGGTTTGAGCAGAACAACAAAACCAGTCTCGAGGCCCAACTCCTCCAACTTTGCTCAGAGCTCCTGTTTAAGCACTTACTCTGGGCCAGGCACTTACACACTCGCCCCTCCTGCCCCCACTCTGGGAGGCAGGAGCATTGAGGTCAATAAGGCTCAGGGTCAAGTGACCTTGCTGAAAGACACAAGCCTGTGAGTGGCTGCACCAGGGTCTGAATCCACATTGTCTAATTTCAAAACCCTTGCTTTTCACCTTTACTCGCAGGGCCTTCCTTCTCCTTATACAACCCCACCCTTTTGGCCCCCATCCTTCAAAATGTACTCTTAACATCTCCTACTCCCCAGGTAAATCCTATCTGCCTTCTCCACCATGAGTGAAGCACAACGCTTCCACTTCATCCGCTCAATGACAACCTAAGCCCATGGCCTCCTCTAAAGAAAAGGACAGGGGACTGTAAAGCCCAGTGATCCTTGATTACAAAGAAACCAAGGAGCAGAAGAGGTAAAGGAGAGAAAGGACAAACCAGACCTGGCTGCTTCTCCCTCTTCGCATCTGAGAAGCAAATGGGACCACCGGGCCCAACAATTCTGCTCATGCTCCCCCCACTCCCGTGGCATGTGGTGACCCTACACTCCCCACCCTGGGCAGCCAGAACCCTTTCCATCTCAGTCACGGAGAACAAACCAGAGGGTAAGGGTGCTTCCCTCAAGTCCTGATGGGACTGTGCCATGCCTTACCTTGAATTCCCCGACAACCTTGCGCAGGGCACGGTCCAGCTCCTCCGAGGAGACGCGCACGTAGGTGAAATCGATGAAGTCGCAGTCGACATCCTGGGTGCCCACCGTGCCGATGGAGTAGGTGCCCTCCTTTTTGTAGTGGAACTTGCCCGTGCTGCGGTGCAGGAGCACCGTGTGCAGCACCGCCAGCATGGCCTCCTCCACCTGCCGCCCCTCCACCGACACTTCCAGCACCTCTGAGCGGCAGTTCATCCTGCAGCCCTCGGCCGGCGATGGGGTGGGGGTCAGGAGTAAAGACCAGAAGCTTCACCCCACCCTGGGGCTGCCCTGCAAGAGGAGCCGGGTCAGAATGCTGCCACCTTCAGGAGGATCTGCCTGTTACTTACTCACCTCCTCCCAAGCCCAGCGTAGCCCGTGCCTTCACAGCCCTTCCCTGCATTTCAGCAGCACCTACTATCAGAGAATCTTAGACTGTCAGGAGTGGAATGGGGGAGAGCTTCAAAGTAACCAGGCGTAACCACCCGTCAAGGCTTGAATTCCACTGCGGCATGCACTGAAACTTGCAGCACGGCTCGCTGGGCCACACCTGTCAGGCATTGGCTGTGAAAGGTGAACACGGCCCTGTGCTTGAGAAGCTCCAAGACAGAGGAGCGACAGGTGGGTCAATATTACCATAGCGGCGAGACTACACGGTGGGAGAGAAGAAAGGACGTCTGATTTCCTGGGACCCTGAATGACTAGGTTAAGGATTTGGACTCTGCCCTAAGGGCAGTGACAAGTCAGTACACAGCTGTACCAAGATCAAAACCGGATGGACATTGGAAAGTTAGCTCTGGAACAACCGAAGAGGAAAAACTGTGTGCCCAGTCCCGCCTTGACTGGGACCCAGTGAAACTGACTGGGAAGTTCAGCCCTACCAAACCGGGCACCCAAAGCCACTGCCATTGACCCATGTACTGGGAGCGGAGCTGCTGTGCCCACCATTTCTCCCGGGGCAGCCAGGCCTTGCAATTGCCAGTGCCCGCAAAGATATTTCACAACAAAGCCTTGGGACAGTAAAGACAGTGACTCAGGACCTCTCATGGCAGATCAACCCCTCTTTAGACAGCTCTCCTGAAGGAAGTTGTTCTTCATGCTTCAAACCACTAGTCACAGTTTTGACAGCAAGAGTCACACAGAATAAATTCTCAACCCTTTTCCACAAACAGGCCTTTCAGATATTTAGAGGCAAGTCCTTCCATCACCCCCTCACCCCATCTACAGATTAAAGATCTTCATTCTCCATAAACCTGCCCGCTCAACATCCCACCCTCTCTTCTCAAGGCCCTGAAAGCTCCTTCTCAGTTTCAGTCTATCTCTATCCCCAGTAAACAGTGGTGCTCACTACTGAACACACAGAGCAGCAGTCAGAAATTAACCTGGCCCCGCCTCTCACATGGCAATCAGCACGGGGGCCACCTGTAGTGGCAGTCATCTGTCACAGGTATTGCCCTGTCTTGTCACTCCCACTGGGCTGACAGCTCCTGATGGGCAGGGCCTGTGTGCGATTCATCACCAGGAACTTGGTCCCCAGAACCCAGTACAAAGTCACTGCTCAATTCGCCCCGACTCTGGAATTCCAGGTCCTCCCAAGGGCTGCTGGATTGATTTCCCCTACACTGTTAGACCAAGGATAAGCAGGGCTCTCCTGTTCTTTTCTACCCTCTAGTTGAATTCCATCCAGCAGTTCCCCATCTACAGAATCCAAGCTCTGATCCAGCTCCCCTTTCTTCCACGACTTCCCCCTCTGGTGCCTCCACAAACCTTCATCCCAAGCCCAGGCTCTTCCCTCATTCTCAACACTATTTTAGGCTCCGCTTCTCCAGGAAATCAGTACTCCAGCCTCCTTCCCACAGCACCCACCTTTGGTCTCCGATGAGCTTGTCTGTCCTCTCGCCCCCACCCCTGCCTCCGGTGAGCAGGGAGTTCTCCAAATCAGGGCGCGGGAAGAACAGTCAGTAACTCTGGTCCCCCCAGACCCAAGTCTGTGGAGCACAGGGACAGAGACTGACAGATGTCTTCTCAGAGCCAGGCTGGGGCGCAGGGCACCCCCATACCCACCTCACGTGTACAGGCTGAAGCGAAACCACTCAGGGTCTGATCATCCCCTTCTTCCTCCTCCTCCTCACGCCGGGCTGCGACCCCCGCAGGTCCGCCCCAACCTCCGCGCGGACGATCGAGCGCAATGGGACTAAAAGCAAAAACAGAGAACGCTCGGCTAGGCATCAAGAGACTCAGGCAGGGCTCAGGAAGGACTTCTGGTCCGGGTCGCGTTTTCCCCACCGCCACTCCCCCAGAACCTCCACAGTTCGGATACCAGGGGTGGAGCTGACTCCGCAGTCAGTTTCGGGCACAGCGCTCAGCGACCCACCTGGCCGGGCTGGAGAGTTCGAGGCGCGCCCTCCCTCCGGCCAGCTCGGGGAACGCCAGCGCTTGCCCAGGAGAAGGGGGCAGCTGGTTAGAACGGTGCCCTTCCTCCCCGCGCCCGCGCCCCCAACCCCCGGGCCATGCAACCGCGACGCCGCGGCGCCCGACCACCTCTGAAGGCGGTGCGTGTTGCCGGCCCCGGAAATCCGTGCCCCGCCCCCGCTGGTCGGATGGCTCCACTTGCCCCAGCGACCACCGGCGGGGGGAGCACGGCTGGCGGAGCCTTGACTTCAGTGCAGCTGCCCGTACCGTTTTACATTCACGCGAGCGGACAAACATAGCCATATACTGCTCTGTAACTCGTATGCTACCTGGTTCTTGATTACCTCTCGGATTTTAAGATTTGATGATGAGAAGTAACCCCCGCATTTGGACGACTCCATTCACCTCCACTCCAAAACACTGTGTGTTTTGGCAGGAACTTCCGCCATAGAGATGAGAGGGAAGGAGAGGCTGATGAGCTCTGTGCTGCCTCCCGAGGATGAGCGGAGTCATCCGCGGCGAGCCAGCCCCTGGGGCGGAGACATGGTTCCTAACTCCGACCTCAGAGACCCCCAAAGGGGTACCGATGGCCCAAAAATGAAGGGCATGCTACGTGGAGAGGTGCCCTGGGGGTGAGTCCAGGCCAGTGTGCTGCATGACGCTGAGTGGATAGCAAAACTTGAGCTTTTCCAGTGCATAATAGCCAGGATTCCTGGTCCCACAAAGAGGCTGGAGAAAGGAGCTTCACCTCACTCTGTGTGATCATCATACAGTCGGTGCTGTACCTTGACCAACCTGGTGACAGTTCTTGTAAGGCTGGTAAATCTGCCATTGCCTTTGCATGCGCCTCTTGACGTCACTCACCCTCTCTGATTTCCTCCTCTAACCCGGGAGCTGTTGTAAGGATCGCAAGAGATAATTCGTGCGGAAAACCTTTGTGAACTGTAAAGTGTTCCATGAACATGAGTGCATTTTTAGTGCTGTGTTACTTCCTGGGAGCGTATGGCTCTCCAAGGAGATTGTACGCCCAGGGCAGAGGTGGGTTTTTTCAGTTCCTCCGTTAATGCCACTGGACCTGGCGAGCTGGGACCCCAACAAGAGGTTCTCCTAAGTTGTTTAGTTGGAGATTAAGATGCTCATTTTTCTAACATGCACCCTCTCTCCCAAAATAATAATACATAAAATTTATTGACTGGAATGGAAAGGTCATGATTCTAAGTGTTTTGTATATGTTCATTAATTTAATCCTACGAGATGAAGAAATTGATGCTGGGAGACGTTACTTAGCTAAGGTCACTGGGCAAATGGCAGAGCCTGGAGTTCAAATGCAGGATTCCTTACCTCTACAGAAGTTCTCTTTCTGGATTCTCCACTCTCCCTTCAGCACACCACCACACTCCAATATGCTGCCCCCAACACCTGCTCTCGGGTGGAGAAATGCCTTGATTAGTAAAATTTGCCAACTTTTCACTACAGCCAATTTCAAGCTACAAGCCATCACTGAATGCAGAGTCCAGAATGAATGAAAAATTACATTCTAATCATCAGAGTTGCAATTGGCTGTAGAGTACCAGGACCAGCTGGCTCCAGCATACCATTGTCACCTACTTTCCCTTTAGGCTTCCTTCTCCCACCCAGTTCTTCCAAACCCCCCTACTCAGCCCCCTGTTCTGGCTGACCTCCCCATTCCATCTATTCCCTAGCCCCTTCCTTCCCTCCCATAGTTCTGTCCTATGCAGCCTTGGTCCCTGGCTTGTCTCTGTCTCGGCTGTGGTTACCTCTCCCTAGGCAGCCTCAGAGTACCTGCAGAGCCTGGGGAAGCAGAAAACTGCCTGCCTTACAGACCAGCAACCTTTCCCAGAGCCTGGCCTTACTGAACCCAGAAAGAATCAGGATAAAATATTAAGAGGGGAGGATCTGCGAGGAGCCAAAGGATGGGGACCCTGGGAGGTTAGAACTCTGGGGTAGGGGGACCAGAGCCTGAATCCCAGGCACTGCAGTGAGTGAGGGGAGTGACCAACCTCTCTCTACCTCTGACACACTCTGTGTGTCTCAGGGCCCTTTGCTGCCACCATCTTGACATCATCATCATCATCCATACCATCGTTCACTGAGACTTCCCAGGCACCAGGCCAGCACGTCACATGCACCTTTGCATTGATTTCTCCAACCACCTTTGAAGGGAACTATCACGTCCCCCCAGCTTACACAGAATGTGACTGAGGCTTAGGGATATGTAGCGACAGGCTTTAATGGCCAATTTTATGTGCTGGCTTGCCTGTACCACAGAATGCCCAGACATCTGGTCGGCCATTATTCCAAGTATGTCTGTAGGGTGTTTCCGAATGAGATGAACACTTGAATCCCTAGACTGAGTAAAGCAGATTGCTGCCCCTAGTGAGGATGGGCCTCATGCAATCACCCCAAACAGAATGAAAGGCCTGACCCTGGCACGAGCAAGTGGGGAATTCCTCCTGCCTAATGGCTTCGAAGGTGGAACATTGGTTTTTCCTGCCTTCAGACTTGAACTGAAATGTCTGCTCTTCTTGGTCTTGAGACTCCCAGCCTTTAGAACTACACCTTCAGCTTCCCTGGGTCTCCAGCTTGCTGACTGCAGGTCTCGGGACTTGTCAGCCCCCATCCTCACATGAGCCAATTCCACATATCTCCTGTTTGGTTCTGTTTTCCTGAGGAACCCTGACTAATGTACTTGCCAAGGCCACACAGCTACTCTTTCCTCATTCCTTTTACCCATTCTCGTCCCTGCTCTAAAATGCACCCTGTCCATGGAGGCTTCCTTGCCTGAGGGTGAGGCTGAACCTTCTCACCTTCCTTATCCTGAGCTCAGATGCTGGCCAAGACTTGCCTCCTCTTATCTCCCTGAATTCTTACAGGGTAGTTCTCATGGTACCTCAGTCCTTGGGTCCTATATCCGTGTGGGCAGTACTGTCAGGGAAGGCAGGCCTTGGTCAAAGTAGAGAGACTATGTGGAATGAAGTCTCCCATTCTATGCCACTACCTCTGACGGTCAAGATGTAATCATTCATTCATTCATTCATTCATGCCACATATATATAACTGTTCACATGCTAGTAAGCCCATGTCATTCCAAGGTGGACAAGTCACAGCCCTGGCACTCTGGGAGTTCAGATCCTTGCGGAGGAAATGGCCCAGGAGATATACCTGGGCAAAAGAACACAACAAGTGGCATGAAGGAAATGACAACCGGTTTTGCAGGCCCAGAGGGGGGGCCGGCATGGAGGCCTGGGTGGAAAATGGAGTGTTTGGAGTGAAGAGCAGCACAGCTGCAGAGAACACAGGATAACAGCCCATGGAGAAGGGCAGGGAGGGGGTTCTGGAAGGTGATTCCAGAAAGAAGTGGGGCTACAGTGAATTATTCTGAGAAGGCTTCCCGGGGAAGAGGAAAGAAAAGAGTTGGGGGAAGAGGTCTCCCTGAGGACCGAGGGTGGAAGCTGAGGGTTCCAAGGCAGGAGAGGCGAGGGCTTCTCAGCCAGAGCCCAGAGCCGCAGCCAGCAGGCAAATGGGCAATTGGCTGAGGCCTCTGAGCCAGGCCTGCAGCAAAGGTCAGTGGAGGGACCTTGGAGGGACCTTGAGACCTTGGGAGTAGGCAGCTGGCTGTGCATGATGAGTGTGACCTCGGATGTCCCCACCCATCCCAGTGCATGCCCCAAGGGAGAGCCAATCCCTGAAGCTGGCCCTGCAGGCCACCCCCAGCCATTCCAGAGCTGACCCCTGTGGCGTCACTCGGATGACTCAGGCCCCAACAACAACAATAAGTGGGACTGACGTCAGGCTGGGGGCTCCTGATGGTGACCAGCCTGGCTGGGTGGCCAGCACCCTGCCTGCTGACACTCTGACCAGGCTGGGTCTCAGGGGTGAGGAGGACCAGCTGTCCCCTTCTGACATCTGCCTCCTGGAATCCTGGACAGGGGCTCCCCTTTCTCCCACCCTTTCTGGGATGTCACTCCCAGCCCTCCTCCTCCAAGGCAGAGGAAATGGCTGGGCGGACGGGAGAGTGACAGAGAGCGTGAGAAAAAGGCACCTCCCAGCCCAACATCACCAGGCAGCCTCTAGACCTGAACTAGGCTGGGCCAGGAGGTGGCACATCTGCTGCCAGTTCCCCTGGGGGACCTGGGGGGTCTGTCCTCCCACATGGGGGAACGGAGGTGCACCTCTTCTTCTGGGAAGGTCTGTGTTTGTCCTTCTGGCCAAGTTGGAGTGGGAGTGAGCCTTTATTTCTGTGTTAGCCCCACAGGGGTAAGAAGTCCCCTCTCCATCCTGCAAAGTCTGTACATCTGTTCCTTTGGGAGGCATGTGCATATATGTTGTTCTTTTCGGCACAGGATTCTGTGTAACGGTTCTTTGCAAAAGCGAAGGGCCATTTACCTACCCTTGTCAGAGAGTCTGTCTCCCCCTAGGGGCTGATTCTTTCTCTCCAGTATCTGTGGAGCCACTGACATCTCCGTGTATCCTCATGATATCCCAGTTACATGGGATGGGGCCCAGGTCTCCTGCTTGGGCTCCCCGGGCAGGGGGCTCTTCTCTCTGATGTGCCAAACTAGGAGGGTATCCTGCCTGCCTGGCTTGCAGCTAGACACTGCTCCCTGCGAACACAAAGTGCAGCGGGACAGCCACCCCACCCCTAGCACTCTGTTCCCTGGCCCAGCCGCCACTCCCAGTCCCTTTGGCCATGCCTGAGTAGTGGCTGGACAGTGCCAGCTCCTGAGTCAGACCTTGAGGAGACCTCAAGTGGCAGGGTCAGGGTCTGCAGGAGGCAAAACCAGGGTTGTGGGGAGGATGACTGGAGCATGAGCCCAAAGGTGAGAAGCAAGGGCAAGTGGCAGAAGCCAAGGCCAGAGTCTCTGGGGCCCCATAGCCTCCAGGGCAGCTCTGAGTCCTGCTGGGTACCCTGGAATGTGCCTCCCACCCTCAGAGTGTCCCTGGTGGTGTGGGGAAGGAGATGTTGGGGGTGGGGGGAGGGGGCTTTTACTCAGCTCTGCACTACTTCCTGGCTTCACCACAGGGAGCTGGAGGTTTCAAAGTCCCATCAGCCAGACAGACCCTCTGCGGGAGCCAAGGCAGAGTCTGGGAGAAGCCTGAGCCTGGAGCTGGGGTGGAGGCAGAGGTTCCAGGCAGGGTC